TGTTGCACACCCCCCCCCCCACTCCTTCACCCTTCCCCCTTCCTCTCTAGCTTCATGGATCTCTAATTGTGATGCTGTTGACTATGGTAATGTAATGTACTATATTCTGTACAGTACCGCTACTCAATGAATAGATTGAACAATTTTTCCACCTTCTATATTAATTGACCGAGGAAGGAACGTTCCGTAGGAGCATATACTTACTTGTACAGTACAGTACAGTACATACATAGCTTGGCGGTGGTTTATTTCCTTCCCCTGAGTTTCCTTGCATGTCATGCCACATTTTGGAATCCTACCTTCTGTAAATTACAATCTAATATTGTACACCAAGTAGGTAAAAAGTAAGTAAGCAAGCAAGCAAGCAAGCAAGCAACCCCGTCCGATACTGCACTTTATAAATTAGATTTAAACTTCCCAATCGTGCAGGCCGTTCTACCCGTGGCCTGTGATACTGGCACAGTAGCACTGCACGGTTTCGAGTACCGTAGCAGATGCGTGTGATAAAGGGGCACAGTAGATACCGTGGCAAGTGCAGTATGGTACGGGACACAATGCATTCCACGCGATATGGATGTATATAAAGAGTTAGGTGCGAAGGAGGTCTAGGGAGGGAGGGGGGGGGATGTTGCACCGTGCACTGACGGAAAGAAGGAATATCAATCAATCATGCCAAGTTGGGATGGGATGGAAGTGGTTAGGCAGAAATGGGGAGAGAATCAGGGGATGGGGGGTTGGTGGACCGGTAGTAATCACGCGATCTGAGTATGATACAATGCGTAATAGAGTTTGTCGGTTTGTCGGGTCGGTTTTGTACTCAGTGCTGGTATAGTAGCTGCCGTTGGAGGGGAAAGGGGGGGGGATAACCCGTGCGGGAAGGTATTGTCATACCGTATTATCATGATATTGTATAGTGGAGTATGTTGTTGACTGGGGACTCCATTCTCTCTCTCTCCTCCTTCCGTTCATTCCTCTATCCCTGCTTCTCATTCACTCTAGCCCTTTCGTTTCTATTCCAATTCCCCAATAGCCTTCCACCATCTAACCAGTCGGCCGACGCCTCGCACACTAGGCCGCCGTAACGACCGCTGTATTTCGGGAAGAACGCATCATATCATACCTACCTTCTCGCGATCGCACATACATACATGCGCACATAACAAGCTGGGGCATGGGCACACGCGTATAGTGTTCGCGCTCGACAGCTGTCATGTGTAAATATCGAGTGAGAATCTGTGCTGCAACGACATGAGTTTTTTCGTTCGTTTCCCTTGTGGGGAAAAATAAAACGCATTTTTCTTCAGAGTTTAAGCACCTGGGTGCAAGACTGGTTCGTGCGGGATTTTTTTTTTTTTTGGTAAGTTTATGGGAATAATGAGAAAAAAAGAAAAGAAAAGAGGGTGGAGGATCATCAGTGGTCAAAGAGGGTCTTGCGGGAATTTAACCACCTAGACTAGACAGGGGGATACTTTAATGAGAGTGCCTTGAATATGCTATGCCATTCGGGTACGATATTGCGGGGTATGCGTGGTGTAGGCATCTGACTTTCTTCGAGATGAGCTAGATGGGATGAGGGTTCTTCTGTTACAGCCACCGCAAGGGTAAGATATGGGAGCTATGCAGTCCATGCTACTTGTACTATAACAGAGTAGCGTACTTATACGCAGTGGATGCTAGGTGGTTCGTTTAGCTTTGCTACCGCACAGACTCAACCTGCTCATATAGAACGGTAGGTCAATCACTACGGTACCCACCCATCCATACATACGCCATCCATAAGATCGATATCTAAATCATGCTTCCTGGGTACTTGTACACTGTGTAGTGTTGTATCGGTGTGCTGCATTCCTCATTAATACGTACCTTTATCTGTTCTTGGGTGGTAGTCTTGAGCTCCCCAATGTATCATACACCCCCCTCCCCACCCTACCATGTCATATTATGGTCCCTCCGGGGAAAGAAAATCAAGAGTCAAAAAAAATCAATCAATTGATCAATTTGTTTATTTATTCGTCTGCCCGTGCGGTGGTGAGATTCTCTTTTCGCGTCTTCCTTGCCATAGTTTTCCCGGGAGTTTTCTTGTTTCTTTTTGGTTTGGACCTGGGCCGGTTAGTACCAGGTTAGTACCAGTACTTGCGGGACAAGTACAGTATTGATTGCGGCGCGAAGCCTAGCTAAAGTGAAGTTTCGGTCCGTATTGAGGGGCAGAGGTACAGGGAGAGGGAGTTTCAGGAAAGTTGCTTGCGTGCCGGGTTCGGAGTAGAGGTTTTTCTACTTTTCTTCACGCATATTTTTTTGGGGGGTTTCGCTTTGGTGTGAAAACATGTACATCTTGGTGGAGTCTCTGCCGTGTACTCGGGTACTGTGCTGTGATATACTGATCAGCCGGAGTTTTTATTATTTTTATCTTGCGAAATAGGCTTTTTTCTTCCCTCTCGATTATTGCGTGGAAGCTGCGGGGCTCGATGTAGTATCAAGTGATCAGCGCTGTCAAACGCTTTTTCTATGCTGCACCGGGATACATGAGACGATGGAGGAGATGCAGTCCAGCACCATGTGATGGTCGTTTGGATCGAAAGAAGAACCAGGCGGTGTGGAGGCGGACGGCCGCTGTTGCGATGAGGGGATGATACCGTATCGTACCAATTCGGCGTAATGGGTTTAGTGCGAGAGGATTGGATGGAAATGCAGGTCATGGTGTTCCCTAGCTTGGGCTGTGTCGAGTGGGGGAGGGGGATGGTGCTGGGAACATCTTTTCTCGCCCCCCCTCCCCCTCGCTGTTTCCTTCCTTCCCGCTCTTGTGCCCCGCTCTTCTGTCCGTTCAAACGGTGGCGGGGCTTAGTCTAAATTTTGTGGCCTTCTGACACCCCCGTCCGCGGTGGATTTCCATAAGGTAGGGTACTCGAGTCAAAGAGTGAGGAGCTGCAAATGGCCTATGCTTTTTATTCTCTTAAATTTTGTTTCTGCGGGTGGATTCTTTGGGCTTTTTTGGACCTTCGCCGTTATACAAGTAGATGCCCGATGTTGTAAATAGATACGGCAGCAGTGTATGCGCTCTGCTCGAGTATGGCACAGTGCCGATCTTGCACACATGCTCGGACTACCATACGGTAACCTCGCAACGTCCTGCTCGTCGTCGCTACCATGATACGGTCCGAGTGATGGCCCGCTCTCATCGTTCTTCTTTTTCTCTGCATACCGGCAGCTAGCATCTCTCTTGCGTAGTACTCGAGTATGACATAATGTACTGTATAGCAAGCCCTGAGAGAAGGGACAAGGTGGCTTGCACCGTACTGTGCTTGTGCGAAAGAAATATGTAGCGCAATTTCGATGGGTTCGGTGGACAAAAAGGTTCTCTTCACCTCCGACCCGCTTTGGGGGGAGAAGGAAGTCCTTTTTTTCTCTGAAAGGACTGGGGGGGCTTTTCTTTCTTTCTTTCCTCCTCTTCTGGTTCCGAAGTGAGAGACTCGCTCGAAGAATTGCGATCCCGCATGCAATGTTCTGGGAACTTGGGGCGAATCGGGGGCTTCTGTTTTTGTATTGTTTCGCATTTTTTTTATAGCTGTTACCGGTGCTGTGCTGT